ATGGGAAATTGCAAGATGTAAGTAATTTTGCATATTTTTGGTTCTCCTGTCATGATATTTTGGTTCTTCCTGTTGTTCCAAATCACTCAGAATCCTTTATATTTCTTGTTTTTCATGGTTTCAATGCCTATCTTGTATAATTTGTCATGTTCATTGTGTAATTGCTGATGTTTAAGACTTAACACAGTTTATGGATGCAAAAACATGTGATGATCTTTACAAAGTTGTTGGTGAAGATTTCTGGTTGGCTACTCATTGCAACAGTACGGCATTTGAGGGGTAATCTTCCAGGAAGTTGAAGGATAACGTCCTTGCGTTTAAAAGTCTTTATTCTGATTGGTTTCTGGTGTTTATCCTTGTTTCAGGAAGAAGCTTGAAGGAACCAGAATCACCTTAGTTGAAAGGTAAAGTCTATTCTGCTTCTATCGTTGGTTGCAGCATTTTCTCTTCATTTAAAAACACTCCGTCTTCAATTATACTTACACTAATTATCATCTTGTAGAGAGCGCGGGTTAGAATTTGCAATTCGAACACCTTGCATACCTTCTAGATGGGAAGATTTTGATGCAGAAATGAAGAATGCATGGGAAGTAAGTTGCAACCTAACATGATTAGAGTAGTTTTTAGCTTGGCCTATAATTTGTGATGATGTTAACTCTGGTGGCATATGTTCTTTCTCCCATGTAATAATGTTTTAATTTGGCATTAATGTGCGACTCCTACTTATGCATTTTCTTGGGATTCATGGCTTGAATATGCTCTTATCAACTTAAATGGCACAGCAACTTTTACCTATTATCTAGAGGGAAGTGCATCCACTTGGAGATAAAGAACCTAAGGAAAAGACCTTTTGAGGAGTTGTTTTATGTTATCATAGTTGTTATAGGCTCAGTTAGTTTGAATTATTATGGTTTTATGACTTGCTGACCAAAAACGGATTGTTCTGCATCATGTTACATTTTGGATATGCTTAAGTCCTTCAGGTACCAATATGTGTTCCTAGTAAGGCAACTGATTCTCTGTAGTGGAAGCAACTTTTATATGGACAATGCATCTGAATCATGAGAAGCTTCATTGGTACTCTTTTCACTAATCCTAATTTCTGTTGTATGCTCATGTTTCTCCCCACTATTTCCTCTCATTTTCTTAACCAGGGCATTTAGACAGCTAGCCACTAGGCCAGTAAGTTATTGTTGCATGATAGCTGAAGTTTAGTATAATTCTTATAAAGTTAATTCTTCCATTCTCAACTATGATTGGATATTATTATTGCTTTTTCTGAATCCCGAAGCGATGGATTTGCAGGCTTTGTGCAATGCTTATTGTGGTGAAAAGTATGGATCTACTGATTTTAGTGCGCTTGAAAATGTGAGAGATGCTATTTTAAGGATGGCATATTACTGGTATGACCTAATTGTCAATTCATGAAAATGGTTGGTTTGAGTTTGGGGCAACTTAGAACTGCTTGAACAAGTGAGAGTGAATTGGCTTTTAGGTACAATTTTATGCCATTGTCCAGAGGCACTGCTGCTGTTGGATTCACAGTTTTGCTTGGATTGCTTCTTGCCGCTAATATGGAGTTTGCAGAAAACATCCCCCCAGGAGTTCAGGTAGATTGGGAAGCCATTTTGAATTCTGATCCAAACACCTTTGCTGATGCTGTTAAGAGTTGGTTGTATCCATCACTCAAGGTCACAACATCTTGGAAAGATTACCCTGACGTGTCGTCAACATTTGCAACAACAGGATCAGTTGTTGCTGCACTGAGCTCTTACGATGATTAAGCTCCTTTCAACTCTTCAAAAGGTGAGTTAGCTGCATTTGAGGCAAGATGTTTGTATGCCAAAGGCACCTTGAAAATGATTACTCCATATATTCACAAGTGAATAGCTCCAGACATTGATGTTAAAATCATAAATTATCTCATCTAGTGGTGTTATATGAATCATATTCTTTCTGAGTCTCTATATGGACCATACTCCTAATAGTACATATAGCTGACCAAATTTAATGTTTTGATGCAGAACGTGTGAGCATAAATTATCTATGCTCATGTTGGCAACAGAAAATGGATCCATTTGAGACAGTATATCTTGTTACAGATACCGGCTTATAATGTTATCAAAATGTATGTTGTCCATCATTGGCTGTACAGCATTTTACCATAATAGAATTTTCAAGTACTTTCTCCGTTGTAGTTAAAGTCACAAATCAAATAAAGTGACTGCTGCATTGACTGTTACAGTTGGAATGATTTTCTTCAGATTTCCTTTTTAATTATTTTCTCTTCAGCTA